ATACGTGTGACGTCACAACAAAGATTATCAGCTGCGACCGTCATGTTTGATGGTCTCTAAAAAGCACGATGGATGCTTGGGAATTGCATTTTAAAATCAACACCGTCGAAGTTGATAGTCTGGTATCGTTCTTATATCCGCCGATAAAGCAGAATTTACAAAAAAAAGCGTCCCTGCCGTTCTTTTGATTTATCTCGGCCTTTCGAATCTGGCCAAAGTGTAGCCCGACGTGGCTAGGTCACAACCAGCCGACTACCGTTGTCCACTTTCGGGCGAATTTCGCCTTCGGGCAGTTGTCCCTTCATCGGCGGGATAAAATCATTTTATGGTAGACATTCGAAGATCAGTCAGTTTGGGATTAAGTATGTTTATCAACGGAAATAAGGAAAAAAAAGTAATGTCGGGTATCAATATGGGCGGTCATGCTTCAAGAATGCAAGGACACTAAACTTGACGTCGTCAATTTGAACACGCACCATCAAATTTGTTGTTCACAACTGATAATCCTGACTCCGTCGTCAAAGGTATCAACTATAAAATGATGTCACTGAACGCGCCCGCACACTATATACGTGCCCTGGCATGAGTCTTTCGCTTGAAAGTCTGTCATGGCCACTCTTCAGTTCATGGAACGCGAGCCGTTTTAATCCCAGAATCTCTTGAACCGTTATTTCGAAAATTGCAGGCTGTGCTGTTCCTCGTCATTGCTCATTGGAACGCCTCTAAGCAGGGTCGTCGAAACAGGAGGATGGGGAGGGGGGATTTAGCCTCCCTCTCCCCCAGTTGCGTCGAAAGAGGGGGCAAGGGCCATAAGGTGGAAAGGGGGGGGGGGGGGGGGGTATCGCCCCAGCCCCGAACCACCATAGCATTTCAGAAAGTTATAATAAAATATTAGAGGAAAGGAATATCCCCCTTCTTCACCACCATCACCTCCTCTCTCTCGCTCTCACTCTCTCCCGAACAATTTCTATGGCCCTTCTTGAGACTCCTATTTGTTTGTGCGTGTGTGTGTGTGTGTGTGTGTGTGTGTGTGTGTGTGTGTGTGTGTGTGTGTGTGTGTGTGTGTGTGTGTGTGTGTGTGTGTGTGTGTGTGTGTGTGTGTGTGTGTGTTGGTCGTACCTTAATTCTTTTTTTAGAGCGCAGCTCTTCGGCGCCCGTTTCCGGGTTTCGCGGCGTGGGCGTCGCCGTCGGCGTAACCGACCCGCTAAGTTTAGCGCGAAATTGACGTCACATCCTCAACACTAATTCAATTCCCAGCTACGTGACTTCAACGCCAATTCACTTCTCCGCTAGATTGTCATGTCATGTCCTTTTCCCTGCTAAATTTAGCGGAGAAACTGAATGGGAGGAGGAGGGGAGGAGGAAGAGGGGAGGAGGAGGGGCATACCCTCCTCTCCGTACCCTCCCTTATTCCTCATCAAGAGTTAAGCTCTAATTTTGCATTACAAAGATTTGTAAACGTCTTTAATTCTTTTATTTCCCTTTCTACGGCTTTTTTTTTTTATCCCCCGTTTCCCTTCATCTTTCAGACATTACCGACGTCTCTACACAAACCGCCTGTGGGTGACCCCGGTGGCGTTGTTGACAGTGGCGGAAGATGAGCTCTATAAAGCCTCCCGCGTACACCGCGCACGGCTCCACAACATCACAAAGTTCTTCGCCTCGATTCCGAAGCGAAGATTTCGGCCTCAAATAACTCCTTCCCAAAGTTGTGAAACGTCAGTTTGTCGTCACCAATAACTTCCACAAACGACGATCTTGCGACGCAAAAGTTCAGAGTATTTACCGGCCGCCTAGGTACAATCTACGCATCATTGACTCTAACGCGGCGTAGGGATGTAGGGACACTCGGGCGAGACGTCATCAGTGCAGCCGTTCAATCGGCTGGCACCACGGTGTTGCTCGCACGCGCTTCGATGGAGCTCGCTACGACTTTGTGTTTTACATTCTCGCTGGAATTTGAGCAGCGAGAGAGCTTGGATGATTGACACCTTGCTCGGCTTGACATCAGCGTCGCGAGAGTCTAATTAGCGCGTTCCGCAACTTTCGGACACAAAGTTGTGGTCGACGAGTTTAGCTACCCAGCTCGCATTACAGTTCGAACAGCTCGCTCGCAAGACAGTGCAGTTTCATCAGTATTCTTCTTCTTCAAGTACGACGACGGTCCCAATGTCGGTTGAATATATCGAGACGCCCAAGCACGAGCAGCACCGCGCGTCAAGAACATCAAGGCAAGATGGCGGCCAGTGGATGCCAGCCTCTCGAGTTTTCCGTGACGGCGGCCATGGCCCTCGTCCTCCAGCGCAAATTTCTCATCCGAACGTCGTGATTCTCTATTCTCAAGACCAGGAGACAGAGAGTACGGGGCTAATTCTTGCTGGTTCTACGGCCATCGGAGGCATCCACTCGAAGAATGCCCAGCCCGAAAGGTACAGTGCTACCAATGTGGCAAGTTTCGTCAGTTTGTCGAAGTCGGAGTCTACCGGCGGCAGCGTTCCTTGGCGATCAACATCGAGCGTCTTTTTCATCTTGGGGTCGAAGTCAATTCTAAGGATGTCCTTACGGCAACCATTCGCCGAGAGGAAGCGGCTCAAAGCCGGTGGGAGGTGTCAACACACCCACGAACTGCGAGAGGCTTCCAACCATTACATTTGGGAAAACTACGGTCCCTGTCCAGAAGGCGACGGACCAATGTTCAAGCGACCCAAGCCACCAAAATGCTTTCCTGGCTGATGTTAAGGTAAATGGGACGTCTTTACGCCTCTTCATTGATACGGGTTTGTGTCAATATTGAACGAGCAGACATTTAACCGTGTCAATCAGACTGGCAGAATTATACTTTCTGCGCCAACAAAGCAACTGGTTCATTACTTGAACGACCCCGTTCCGATACTTGGATGTTTCATGGCACAAGTAATTTTTAAGGATTGGCATACGCCGTTGGAATTTCACCTCACCCGTAATGGCCGTTCCTTGCATGGGATCGACGCTGTTCGAGAGCTAAGATTACAATGTCCGGCGCTGACCATGAATGTTCTTACGTTGACGCAGCTGACGGAAGACAAGTACCCCGACCAGATGTGAGCTCAGCTGGTGCTCCCCAGCGATGTCCGTTCACCGTCTCCTCCCGTCAAGCAAGTCAGCCACTATGTTCATCATGTTCATCTAGCACCAGTTTCCCCTCAGAATCAGCAGATGTCAACACATTCCGTTTCCGTGCATCGCCGCCGCCCAAAGGGACTTGGAGGTTTCGTCACCGATGCACCAGTCGTCCACAATTACAAGTGCTTCGAAACAGCTTGCGAGGGATGCATCACAAGATTTCAAGAATTCGAGCACCTCTTTGATCCAGAACTGGGTTTGGTACAGAACGTTACTCACACCGTCAAGGTCCGGCATACCGTCCGACCAATGCAGTCGAAGCTACATCGTCTTCCTGTCCCGCTGCGTGATGCTGTGTCGGAAGAGATTTTTCAGCTGGAATGCCTCGGCGTCATCGAGCGCATAAGCGCATGGGAATGGGTTTCACCCATCGTTGTCGTCAGGAAGAAGGACGGAAAGATCCGTATGTGCGTCGATTTGCGCGCGCCTAATCAAGCGGTCGTCACCGACTCGTATCCACTGCCCTAGATCGACGAGCTCCTCAACACTCTACAAGCTCCTCAACTCCTCAACTAAGCTAGACTTGGCTTCGGCATATCATCAGATTCGACTGTGTCTGGTGAGTCAAGATTTAACGGCCTTTGTAACGTTGTTGTTGTTTGCGGGTTTTATGGCGCAACAGCAACGGAGGCCATACAGCGCCAAACTAAATTAACTGATAAACTCCTATGGTTACCTCATTACAAAAAGACGATCCTGAAAACGACTAAATCTGGTGTATAAAGCCAGTACTAGTAATAAACGATAAAACTCAATCAATAGGAACGAGAGGGTGCTTTCCCAGCAAAAGAGCGAGATGAAATGGAATACGAAATCTAAAAAACTCTGGAAAATGAGCACGTCGTTCAGTGTCGAATTCCGGGCAGAGCCACAAAATATGGAGAATAGTAAGATTGTCTCCACAGTGCTCACAAACTGGTGGATCCTCCCCCATAAAGGAGATATCTGTGTGTAACGAAGGAGTGCCCGATTCGAAGCCGGACCAATACAACTCAAGGCTCTGTTATACTCCAACGTAACGCGCGCACAAGCGAACGCTGGCCGAAGTCGGCTACGTCACGTCAGTCACGCCGCGTGCGTCAAAAATTCGCCCTTTTTATACTCCGGCGGCCCTGGCGGCTTCCGCGGCTCGCGTCGGTGCGCCGCCGGCGCGGCGCATGCGCAGAATCTGACTACGAGGGCACGTTTCCTGCGAGAGTGCACCACTTTCGGCTCCTTTTCGTTTCGAATAGCAGACGAAAATTCTCGCGCTTCTTGAGCGCTAAGTTCGAGCGATGGCGTGGACGTACCTTGCACGACGAAAACTCGCACTTGCAGTGTTGGTGCACCGCCTGCGCCGCAAGCGTAGGCGGTCTATGTACATACGACACACCTTTGACAAGCGCACGGTCTACTTTACTCAAGCTTTCTCGTGTCGTAGACACACGGGTGAGGACGAATTCCCTCGATGAGCTTCTCGACGACCGAGTCCGATTCTTCAAACATGACGCCACACGGAGTGGTGCTCCCGTCGTCTGCTATTGCTCGTATTCGCCGCGCTTCCCGCGCGAGGGCTGCCGGGAGCCAGCGCGTGATGCATCCTGGTCCGGCGTCGCTGGGGCGGCCGGTGCGGAATACTGCATGCTCCATATTGGCGTCGAGGCGGTCAGGCTGCGTCGAACGCAGCCGGTCGCGTCGGTTACGCCACGACGCCGGAATATAGAGCGTCGGGTTTTGGCCGACGTGACGTCGCTGTGACGCGCTTGCACGCGCGCACGCGTTACGTCGGAGTATAAAGGGCCACCCACACTAGCGAGAAAACGCGCTCGGCGCGCCGATCGCGTTGAAAACGCGTTCCGCAAAATCGGTTGAGCGGGAAGATTTTCCTGCCGCTCGGTATGCCGCTTGCCGCTGGCGCAGACGCGCCAATCAGAGGCGTCACATCCAGTCACGTGCGATGCCATGGCAACGCTTTCGCGAGAAAGTTGAGCCGCCGAGTAGTGGCGAGCCCAGGCGAGCCAGCGAACAATCTTTCCGCCATGAGCCTAGAAAACAACACGAGGACGATGGAGCGCTTTATCGAAACGGTACGGATGTACCCGTTTCTATACGATAAAAAACACCCGGAGTTCAAGGAAAAAGCGGAGAAGCTGAACCGATGGGCGATTATCGGCGAGGATTTCGGTCTCACCGGTGAGTTATTTTGCGACCTACTCGAGTTGTGTGAACGCCTCTCGCGCCGACTCCGTGATGTTAGCGCAGGGGTTCCCGTAATGGGTTCCGAAGTAACTTTCGAAGAAATAAGCACAGGTGTCTGTTGGGCTCAGCAGCTGATATGAAGCTGGTTCAGGCAGGGGCGGATGCAGGAATTTCCTAAGGGGGGGGGGGGGGGGGGGGAGGGGGGTCAGGTGTTGGTCAACGTACCATTTGTTTAGGAAACCCCTCCCCCTTTCCCTCGTTTCATGCCCTAAATTTTACACATGCAGAAATCAAGAGGGGGATCAGGACATCCGGACCCCCCCTCTAAATCCGCCCCTGAGATTAGGGGGCCTTCATGTGCGCTTTGCTTGGGGTGATGACATCTGGCCATTTTGTTCCGAACGCTCGTTTGTATTTTTTTGTTTTCAAGCGCGTGAAAGGACGTGTCTCTGCACGCGCTCGTGGCGCTGACTGTGCTACGGCGACTTTTTGTTACCGGAGATTTCTTTGTGTTTTCCCTGTGAGCTCGTGCTGTCGGCATCGGGTACTACAAACGATGGCATCACCCTAAACAGAAGGACATCTAGGCGCCTAGCTTAGTTATGACAGCCGTGCATCGACTCTCTTTTGCGGGCACAGCAAGCTTCTCGGGCTTGCTTTGCCCAGTTTTGTCTCAACAATGCAGTAAACCGTTTAATTTCTAATGGAGGCATATACCGTGCAGGAGAAGCAGCCGCGGCCAAATTTAAGAATGTCAGGGACCGCTGGTTGAAGATTGTTTCCGGTGTGCAAAAACCGAGGAGCGGCTCCAGCGGAAATGTTGGGAAAGTAAAAACAAAGTGGGTTTTATTTGACGTGATCAACGACGTTCTTAAGAACACGCCGCACTACGCTGAAAGGTAATCTGTAACTATGGTGCTCATGTGAGCGTGTGAAATGATTGCGTCTAATTTGAGAGGGTACATTTTTGGTTTTATTAAGGACCGCCACAAACTTGCCGGTTGAGGAAGATAGGTATGATGCTGTATTTTTCTTTTCCTGTCTGCTACGTTTTACCCTAGAAAACTCCTTTATAAACTTACGAATTTCACTGCCCCAGCGTTTTTGTTAAGCAAGGCTTATAGCTACTGTTATGCAGGGACACAGAGCAGCCCTCCACATCCAGTTCGAGTGCAGCAAGTCTTGACCACGCAGAAAGGTAGACACCACTCATGTTTAAATTACCTGTGGTCAGAGCACAACAAAATGTGGTACTAACTTTAACCAAATTTCTACGCACAGCTGTCCCCTGAGCCCTGCTAGGGTTGTTTTTGAAGCAATGTAAGCATACTTTATATTGCTTTGTCGTAACCTCTTTCCTGTGGCATGGCCTGTGCCATGAGTGAAACGCCGCACATCTGCAATAAATAATCCAGGTACTCCAATGGCCCTGCTCTCTTGCTATCGGAGGAAAACAGCCCAAGGTGTGCGGTCTCAATCCTTTATTGGTGCTGCAAGGTGCACTGCATACTCTTCTTACAATACTGAAGCACAAATTCACAGTCTGCCTTTATTTTGCAGCATCTATGAACACCCAGGCACGGGAGCCGATGTAGGTCCTTCACGGTAAGAAAATCATGTCTTCAATATTCCTGTACGTCCTGGCTGATTTGCTTCCTTTGGTTTGCCCAGATCAGCCAAGAGGCCTGCTGACCAAGTACCATCATCCCGGTACTTACGTTGTTTCCTATTAAAAAATACTATTGCGTGAAAATCAACGTTTGGACTGTTTTGCAGAAAAAAGAATCAACGGGGCCAGGATAGCTTCGAGGACTCTGTGCAGAGCGTCCTCCACAGCTGCTCGGCAACATTGAACGCCATCTCGCACAAGGCCGACACGCCTGTCATTAAAAACGACTGTACGGCGGGGGCACAATGGATTGAATCCAAACTGGCATTGCTTTCACAAAAGCTAAGATGTGAGGTAATGCATAAGATCAACCAACTGCTGTATGAGGCTGAGATGAAGATGTTGGAATGAATGCTCAACCGAAACGTCATTGTTCGTGTTATTTATCTAAGACTTTGGTCTTGCAGATCTATACTACAAATTAAGGAAGCACGTTACTTACAAATTTAATCGTGTACACTTTCTATACTTGATGTTCGCATCCTTCAGAGAAGACATCAATATTTCGTTGAAAAATTAGTTACTTTGATGATCGGTCATTACCTGCTGTCCCGCTCGAGTTACGATTCTTTCTTGCCACGGGACCTTTCCCTCGTTGAGGAAGTATGTGGCCAGTCGGTCCCGTACTTCCAAAGCAGTCCTGAAGTACAAGATTACACAATGTCTGTCAATGGAATGAAAAGTCAGCAGGCATAGCATTTTCGGTAATGCACGCAAGTAGGAAATTGCAAACCTAAATATCACTTTTTTATCCCCGCGGCCCATCTGCTGGAATAATTACCCGGGAGAGTGGGACCCCAGGCCCGCCATGTCCCTCAACGGCAGCCCCCTGTCGTCATTTCTCCATGACCCATGTGTGAGATTTCCCTGCCAGTCCTCGCTGTCCACATAACCCGGAGGATTGTACGCTGACCTTGACATGGCAGAATTCTTGAGCAGAAAGTTGTGCAAAGCCACGCACGCCTTCACAATATTTTCTGTTGTTTCTTCCGAGGCTCGAAATGCTCTTCGTAGAATACGCCACCTGCTGGCCATGATCCCAAACGCATTCTCTATGAGCCGTCTCGCACGGCTCAGCCGGTAATTAAAGGTGGCCATTTTCAGGTACTCTTCCCGGTCAGGTTCCCTGTTTCTGCAACTTTGGAGCTCTGAAGAAATATGCAAAATTGAGACGTCAGTATTAACCACCGCATGCGTAACATTGTCTCTGATTAAGCTGACTATCGAGCAATAGTGTGCCAATTCTGGCAGGCTGCGCGCTCGTGTTTTCCGGTTAAAACCGACAGATTCTGCACAGACGAATGCATCTGCTAACAGAATAAAATAATGGCATTTCCTGCAAAGTACATTTCCATAAATAACTAATTTCATGACGTGCGAAATGAGTATGCAATAATTTTTAAATAAAAAGAAAGCACAATGCGGTTTTCTTTTTTTACAAATAAATAATGTAAGCTATACTATACGAAAATCAATAGCAAGACTTGCCGCGCCCAGGATATGGCCTCATGAGAAAGGGCTTCAGCGGAAACGCCTCATCCCCGACCATTAAGTAAGGGATCAGGCCTGCAGAGCCCACATTTGCAGGAGGAGGGATGCCATATCCGCTGTCAGCTAGAACCCCGAAAAGTGGCGTCCTTGAAAAAAACCCTCCATCACTCTCTCCGCCATAATGACCGATGTCAACATACGTGAAGCTGAAATAAAACAGCAGGTAGAAGTCGATACATTCAATATGATGCAATATAAAGTACAAAATTTTAGTATCCTCGTTTTCTTAGTAGTGGTAGCTTTCTTTGCACTCATAACCAAGATGCCATGCTATTAAAAACACTTATTTAAATAATTGATCAAATGAATCCTACCTGTAGCGTGCATCACATACTGCCATAAGAACTGTACTAAATGTCTTCTTATAGTTCAGGTTTCTTGCACCTGAGTTGCTGGGGCACTCAATGTTGACATGTTTTCCATCAATGCAACCAATACAATTAGGAAAATTCCAGAGTAAATCTATCTCTGCTGCAATCTAAAATAATGGTGGTCACAAAAAAAGTGGGAAGTGAGCATGGCATAGTGTGACCTAACAGGTACCGTCCCTAACCTTTTTCCATTCGGTTGGCCCCTGTGGAAATTTCACGTAGATGGGCTGCAGAATGTTCCACATTGCAGCGCATGTTTCCTTCACAATCCCAGCCGCTGTTGATCGGCCCACCAAAAAATTAAAAGACGAACTACGGAATGTGTCGCCATTTGCAAGGAATCTGGAATCACAAAAGAAGAGGTGTCTTGGTAATACGCGCGTTTTTTTTTCTTACAACGCTCGCTTAGCGCACCTCGCAGTTGCTTTTAATTCTCCGCAAGACCTGCTTGCTCACTCGGAAGATTCATTATAACATCAAGATAGCGATATGCTGACGTCGTAATGCCAATCTCCCCCCCCCCCTTCCCCCCCCCCCTTTACCTGACGGTGATAACAAGCCGGTCGTGTGCTGATATCGGGTCGCGGAACGGCGTCACCTTACGTTCGATCGCTGGACGGATGAGTTCCAGCAAGGAATCAAATGTGCTGGGTGCCATTCGCAGGAAGCTGGAGACCAAAAAGCGATAAAAAAAACATCCGTTTACCATTGTATATGGTGAACACTTTTAAGGTAGAGAATGGTTGTAGTTACTCACTCTCGAAAGTAAATTTCGTCTGTGGCGCGCAGGCGAGGCAGCAAAGCACTGGCCTGTCCTTCCAGATTTCGGTAGCGCAAGCTTGGTCGAACCCACCATCTACGTTTCTTGGCTTTTTGGATGCGCCGACGACGGAGAAGTAGTGAGCACACAAGAATGATTGTGTTGACCGTAATTACGAGCTCATCTGTACCTGTCATGACTCGATCACGGTGTGGACTCGATCTTCGGCGAGCAAAAGCGTCCCTCGCCCGCTCGATTGCCTCGAGGATCCTCGAGATATTGCGGGAAATCATGCGCTCGCTCGGATGCTTCAAGAGTGCGCGAGGCCTCCTGTGCTGTCAGGTGACATTCGCGGCGGCAGAACTCTATCTAGTGTGGTCTTCAGGATGCGGGACGCGTTTTCCCGCGATCGGCGCGCCGCGCGCGTTTTCTCGCTAGTGTGGGTGGCCGTTTACAGAGCCTTTAGCGAAAGCGGCTATTCAGTGAGGAACTCTCCCAAGATTTAAGGACTGGTTTGCGTTGAAGGAGCTTGTTATTACACTCCATGGCCCACTCTGTCTGCCATCACCAGAGTCCACAAATAATACGGCCCGTCTAGTTTTAGTCTTCAGAATATAATCCAGTGCAAAAGACACAGCATAGATTTCAGCAGTCAATATACTCGCAAATTCCTCCAGACGTTTAACTTTTACAAAACGAGCTGAATGCACGGCACACCCGACAAACGATGAAGTCTTGGCACCGTCCGTGTAAAAGTGAGCGTAATCTTTATATTTTTCTTCCAGGTCAAGTATATCCTGCTGAATCACAAGAGCTGATATGCCATTCTTATAAACTCAGTGAACGTCCAGTCACAAAAAACACGCACCACATTCCAGGGTGCCACGCAGAGTGTGTTCTGAATCAGGTTAAGTTCGTTCAGACGAAGTTGAAGTGAGGAACAAAATTCCTCTATACGAAAACTTAAGGGTCTGACAATGCTTGGTTTATTTTCAAAGAGACGGTAGAATTGAGATCTTCGTACGGAATGATACGTTGGGTGATCAGGGTTTGCTAGGATCCTGGAAGCGTAGGTTAGGCTGAGGTATTGACATCTTTTGCACAGCGACATCTCATTTGATTCCGCATACAGACTAAGTACAGGCGATGTCCGAAAAGCACCTGTTGCCAAACGCAAGCCAAGATGATGTACAGGATCCAATATCTTGAGAGCAGACGGGCGAGCTGATCCGTACACCACGGCGCCATAATCAAGACGAGATCGCACAAGCGCGGTGTACAAATGCAAGAGACATTTCCGATGCGACCCCCATGATTTATGAGCCAAAACTTTCAAAAGGTTTGTGGAACGAAGGCAAATTTCCTTGAGAAGTTTCAGGTGGGGAATAAAGGGAGCTTTTTTGTCAAATATGACACCAAGAAACCTGTGCTCCTTCCTAACAGGAATCAGAGTACCGTTTAGTTCCAAAGCTGAGTCTAAGGAGAGCCCGCGACGTAGGGAAAAAGGCACACAGACCGTCTTTGCAACAGAGAACTTGAAACCATTTTCGTCTGCCCACTTACAAAGTTTGTTTATAGCCAGTTGTAACTGCCGCTCACAACTAGAAAGATTGCAAGAAGATGAGGAGATCTGTATATCGTCAGCATAAAGAGAGTGGGAAATAGACCGAGGTAGCATTCGTGCGAGAGAATTCATTTTCAGTACAAACAAAGTGACGCTCAAAATGCCTCCCTGTGGGACTCCGTTTTCTTGAACAAAAGGTTTAGACAGGGTGCTGCCAAGCCGGACTTGAAAGGTTCTGTTTTGTTAGAAAGTTGTTAATACATTGCAACATCCTACCGTGGATATTGCAAGCCATACATGTCTTTCAGGATATCGTATCTCCAAGTGGTATCATACCCCTTGTCTAAGTCAAAAAACTCTGCAACACAGTGTTGCTTGTTCACAAATACCTCGCATATAACGGTTTCCAGGCGAACCTAATTATCAAGAGTAGATTGACCTCGGCGAAACCCGCACTGATTTTTGTCAAAGACCTTTTGCCTTTCTAATATGTATACTAACCGCCTGCTTATAAGCCTTTCAAATATTTTCCCAATACAGCTCGTCAGAGCAATGGGACGGTAACTTGATGGTAGTGAAGGGTCTTTCTGTGGCTTTAGGAGCGGGATGACATGTGCATGCTTCCAGGCATGGGGAAAGCAGGCTTTTTCCCACAATAAATGGAAGAACAAGAGAAGACTTTTCAGGGACTCAGGAGAAAGGCGACGAAGCATTTCACAATGAACTACGTCGGGCCCTGAAGCAGAAACCCTCGTTATGTCAAGTGCCATTTCAAGTTCACACTGCGTAAAAGGCTGGTTATAAGGCTCAGAGTCTCCTCCAGACATGGAGATGTTTTGCGCTCTGCAGGAGATTTAAATCTACTGAACAAATCACTGTATTTTGCCGAGCTGGATGTGTTATAAAAATGTTCACCAAGGATGTTGCCGATGTCAACTAAAGATGAAGAAGGGGTATCAAAAGTAGGAATTGCAAAGCACCTATAGTCTCCATTTATTTTCCTGTATCTATCCCGAACCTCCTTGGCTGGCACAAAACTATTTATAGAAGAAACATACTTCATCCAGGATTTCCATTTTGACTGCTTCCTGGTCCAACGGGCTTTAGCTTTCCGCTGCCTGAACTCTGCGAGATTACATGATGTGGGATATCTGCGAAGTTTGCCCCAAGCCCTGTTTTGATCCACTAAGGTTGTGGCACACTCCATGTTCCACCATTGTTTGCATTTTTTTGGCACTTTACCAGAGGTTCGTGGAATAGACACCTCAGCAGCATTTAGTATCTGCTCAGTAATATACAGTGTAGCATCTTCGGGAGACATAGAAGAAAGCAGATAAGGGTCCAAGGTGGAATGTAACCCAAAAAGTGACCAGTCAGTTTATCTAACTTCCACCTAGGGATACGTTTCAAAAGTGAGGGCAGCTGAACAACGCTCTCTAAAACAATCGGAAAGTGATCACTGCCAAAAAGGTTGTTGAGAACATTGCATGTAAACCAAGGAAACGATGAGGGGGATGAGATCGACAGATCTATGGATGTAAATGTGGTGTGAGCTGCACTGAAAAATGTTGGCTCTCTCCCATTAAGAAGGCATTGCCCAGATGCCAATAAAAAACGTTCAACTACACCTCCACGAGAGTCTTGACGAATACTACCCCATAGGGGGTGATGGGCATTAAAATCGCCTAGAATCATAAAGGGTTGTGGCAGCTGACCTACAAGACCCTGCAATTCACTAAGATGCAATGGAGTGTTAGGTGGTAAATAAAGTGACATTACAATTATGAGGCGGTCTAAAAGAAGGCGCACTGCCACGGCTTCAAGTCGCGCGCAGAGCGGGACCTCAGAGCAGGCGACCCCACCTTGTACAACCACTGCCACGCCACCAGAGAGAGTATCACTAAGACGGTCTTTCCTAAAGACCCGGTGACGTCTTAAAATATGAGGAGAGCGATCATGACGATGAGTTTCCTGAAGAGCACGAGCTATCGGCCGAAGCTCCTCCATGAAATGATTTATATCATCAATATTTCTTAAAAGGCCGCGACAATTCCGTTGCATAAAATTTACTTTTGCCATTTATAAAATTTGTTTTTATCGGAAAATGTAAATCACTAAAACTCGGTAGTAAAAAGATTAAAACTCGGGAGAGAGACCACTTGAATTACTCCGGCGCAGTAACCGGTTTTTTGCTCTTCCCTGCACAGGTCTACGTCTGCCACTCCATGCTATCCGGGTCAGAAGCAGGAGCAGCCGAATCGTCTAACTCCATGGACAAGTCTGCCTCTTGAGTCGTGTCGCTGGTGTTAACCAGCGTTTTCTTCCGACTTGGATCACGGAGAGAGAGGCCCCGGCCGCGACCAGCCGAAGAGGCAGCGGAGGTGCTGGGCAGAGCGTCTTTCAACTCTGCCCGCTCGGACCCCTTGGGTACTGGGGGAGCTGAACGGGAGTTGCGCCGCTCTTTGGAGGAGGCCCTCTCCAGTGAGCTGGGGCGAGAGTGTCGCTCCTTCTCCTCGGGGGAAGGCGTCGAAGTAAGGACTCGCAATGGCGTTGCCTGCCTGTCCTTAGACTTGAGGGCAGCTAGTGTGCTCTCTCCAGAAGGTGGGGGGAGCTGCTGCCCCTGCGGGGGGTGGGGGGGGGGGGGGGGGGGGGGTTGGGGCCCGAAGGGTTACTGCCAGGGCTTCAGGCAAGACCTGCGTGGCCTTCGATTCCGTTCGCGGTGGAGGGCGCAAAGCAAAGGAGAACCTTTGCTTTGCTTCTGGATAAGTTTTCTTTTGCTCTTAAGGTGAGGATTTCTTTTTCTTGTCGCCATGAGGGGCAAGAACGAGAGTACGCAGCGTGAGGACCCTTGCAGTTGGCACAGAAAGCTGCCGCTTCACAGATGTCGGCTAGATGGTCGTGGCTGCCGCACTTTGCACACGTCTCCTTCCCTCGACAGCTGCGTGATCCGTGGCCATGACGCTGGCAACGGAAGCACCGCTGTGGGTTGGGGACGTAAGGGCGGATGCGGCAGTTAAGGTATCCTGCCTTGATGGTTTCTGGCAATGTGTTTCTTTCAAAAGTAAGGATTACGTGTTTGGAAGGAATTTCCTCACCATTTTTACGGAATATGATGCGCTTAACGGCAACAACGTCAACACCTTGGAGTCCCTCGAGAAGTTCTTCCCCACTAGTGTGTAAGGAGTCGTCCTCGGAGGGGGCCCTACGGATGGTGTTGAGCGTGCGGTGAGGGCTAACCGACACTTGAACATCAAAAGAACTAGTCAGCTTCAGGATCGCTTCACTTTGTTTTTTGGTGGTTACCTCCACTAGGAGGTCTCCGGTGCTGCTTTTTAGCCTTGTAAGAGAATCCGGCAAGGTTTTCTAGTACCTTTGCAACAGGTTTTTGTTTATCAAGTGGATGAACAAAAAAAAATCGTAAATGTTTCTCCTTCAGAATCTTTGTCGATGGTCTTGGGTTCAAGACAATGCCTTTTAAAGGCTTACCCTGAACGGGGTTTGGAAGATAGGGGCCCGATAGGAGGGCAAAGAGTGTTCAGAATCCGCGGTGCACCGCCCACCACCGAGCACGACAAGGGGTTAGGTAACGCACCAGAATAAGAAGAGCTTGGCTGGAGACGTTACGCTAACAGTGCTGCCGGGAAACTATACCCAAGTGTGGGTCAAGACAGAGGTCCATCGGCACCCAAGGTTAGCCCTTGCCGCCAAAGAGGGGTGAAAAGGGAGTAAGAGAAGTAAGAGAGAAGTAAAAGAAACAGGAAAGGTAAAAGTGAAAGATCGGA